AGATTGAATTTTTGCTTAATTAGTCTCAGAATGAAGACAGTTGGCCCAGAACATCACAGATTGTCTGAGAAGCAAAGAGTTTGTTGAGCATGGCGCGTTTCGCGTCGTTTTGCAAATACGAACAGCAGTGTACTTGAATCGGCTTTTTTGTTTTGTCGGGACATCGATAAAGGGGAAAAAGGACAGCCACCCCTCCCAACTCCCCCTCCCCTTCCGAAGAACTTCAGGCTGCGTATGTGAAAAAAAAAAAAAAACTGGATACGAAAAAATTAAAATAACACAAAAATTAAGCTGGGTGTTCAAGTAAGTCTGAATTTTATCAGGAAGAGCGACAAAATTAACGAGTACATAATAAAATTAATGGCTAGGCGCCAAACTTCATTAAGCCTAGTTGCGATAGGTGCCAGGATTGCTGGTGCTAACATGCGTTTTTGCATGATTTTTTTCTCGTTGGAAGATCGCCTGGTCTGGGTTTATATCCTGGCTTGTGTTATAATCTCAAATATTTGTAATGTGATAGGACATAGCTAGCGTGTGTGTGTGTGTGTGTGTGTGTGTGTGGTGTAAAATTAGTTGTTGAAACTTTATTTGATTAGTGAGAGAGAGAGAAAACGATGAATGCGATGTTACAATCTGGACTTTTAATGAGGCTGTACGCAGGACATATACTAAGTAAGAGTTCATTTTACGCTTGCTGACTGGCACGTGAACAGCAAACATTCTTAAACAGTACTGCTTTCTACTTAGTCTGGCTACCTACTTAATTGAATGCCAACAGTGTACCAAACTAAAATTTCACTTGTAAGCACGCCAGATCTAGGTGTATTTTAATGCTGACCATGAAATATTTCGGGCACACATGGGCATAGAATATCCTCGTACAATTTCAGCCTCCTAGCTTGGCGAAATCGCTTTTCGTTCTAAATGTATTTGAAGTGTCCAAGTGTGCTACACAGATGTATATCATCCCTTCCCAAATCGGCTTTTCAGCACTTGATGTTCACTTCGAAAGTCAGTGCATTCCCACATGGATTGCATATTACGCTCATATGGTGCCGAAATGGTTCAAGCACCTGTCAACTGCGCTCACATTTTATATCGAAATCATTTTACCCCCCTTATTTCTGGTGCCTTTGAAATACGCCCGCTATTTCTCCTTCTATCCGCAAGTAAATTTTTCCTTAAAATCAAATGAGGTTTGCTTTTTAACATTTCGTTCTCTGGAATTCTCTTAATATTTTCGTGGTGCAATCATTTTATGTGACGAATACTAAAATCAGAAGTAACTGTTTTTTCATTTATCGTTTTATTCGATTTTCGCATTTG